AAATCAATTTAAACAAGATGCAGAAAGGTTTCAAAACACAGTCTTAATCAAGTCAGCTTTGCTTCCCATCTTCCTCCAGCTCAGCTCTGAACCACCCCCCAAAACCTGGCAGTTAATGACAAAGGAAAATCAGCGATGACACACTTTGAAATCCTTGGCACTGAGTGACATGCACAACAGCTTTAAAAAAAAAAAAAAAACAACACACAAAACAATTGGCTGGAGAATTTTCTCCACTCAACTTCAGGAAAAAAACCATCATTTTCTGGTATGGGAAATGGCTTTTCTGATCTGTCTTGTTAGGGAAAGGGCCCTTGAGCACAGCTAAATTGAGCTCTGCTGAATTTTCAGAGCTTGCAGAGCTGACACTGGGTTATCCCAATCATCCTGATCATAGAATGGCTTGGGTTGGAAGGGACCCCAAGGATCATCAAGTTCCACCCCCCTGCCACAGACAGGGCTGCCAACCTCCAGATCTGGCACTTGACCAGGCTGCCCAAATGATGCTGGTGATGCTGTCCCTCTCTGATGTCCTGCAGTGCACTGGGAATAGCAAGTGGCTGAGCTTGAAGATGGGCTTGAAACACAACTGAAAGTGGCACGATTGTCATTTCGGATGCCCACCAGCTATGTGCTCATTCTCTTTGAGCTTTTAGATGGAAACTTTGATACCTGCTGACTCTTTTGTCTGTGAAATGTCAGTCACATCACACTTGGTCTGGACTCTCCTACCTGGATCTTGCCAACCTGCACTTTGGGGATGTTTCAAGTAGAGATTGCAATGTTTGTCTCTTCCTGAGAAACAGAGAATGACCACGGGGTAACTGGCAGCCACCCCAAGGCAAGATGCATCTCTGGTGCTGCAGAGCTCCGTGACACTCAGGATGGTTTGCGTGGTGATGCACTGGCACAGCTGCTCAGGGAATGGGAGAGTCACCATCCCTGGATGCGCTCAGGAACCGTGGAGATGTGGCAGTGGGGGATGTGGTCAGTGGGCATGGTGGGGTGGGTTGGGGTCGGGTTTGGGGATCTGAGAGATCTTTTCCAACCTGAATGATTCGGTGATTCTATGATTCTATGATCTCAGTGAAGGAGGAAGAAGACCCGTAAATCAGGTTTCATTTTGGGTTTCAGCTAGGACACCTTGGGGGTCCTTTCATCCATTGTCCCTTGAGGACAGCTCAAGTGAATATATGTGGGTTACACTAGCCTACTAAAGCGGGGTTGTTCCAGCTCTGATAGTGGTGATTCACTTTTTCACCATCACAGATCTGCCTTGACCCTGCCCTGCAGCCTTGAAGATGCAGCACACTGCAAGCTTTGCTGCCACCAGCCTCCAAAACTACATCACACTTGAAGTCTTACGACTCTGATGAGTGGGCTCCATGCTTTCTCCTTGATCCCTGATGACCAGCAAAACTCATCCCGGACTGAAAGCAGGAGAGAGATGATTTGCAGCAGAATACCAATTTTGATGATTATACGCTGCACCGACACACCATCAGAATAATGGGGGCAGCTGATGGATTTGGTAGCACTGGGCGCTTAACATTCTGCCTTGTTTTGCCTCCTGTCATTTCGTGGTGTTAATGGCTTCGCTGTGATTTGTTAGATTGCATGACCTCAAGGACACCCAGCTCCCTCCTTCGTTTCTCTTCCTTCCTTCTCTCCCTGCGTGTGTGTACGTGCACCTTTAATGGAAGGCTTTGTTTTAATAGAATCTAAATGACATGTCTCTGTTTTGGACAGAGTTCAGGAAAGCCATCACAAGGACAGAGAAACCACAAGCATCCTATGAATGATTTCAGCTCTCCCTTGATAAGCTGGTGACCTGTTCCAGCAATGAAGCTGGGGGGCTATTGATTCAGCTCAGGGCAATTGTGCAGATTTTAGCTGAATTGGCTTGGCACGTTGGCTGGAGATTGCACCTGTTTTCATGACAAGAATGAATAGCTGCTGAGCTATTCTGTCTGCCTGTCACCCAGTGGGGATGGGGACTGAGGAGCTGCTTCAGGAAAAGTCGGGGTATCAAATAAATACTTTAGGGGTTTCCAGCCACGGACTTTGATTCTCTATCCCAAGTGAATCAGAGATGGTTTGTGGGATGGAGAAACTTGTCTTCCTGATCCCAGGAGAAGAAATACATCCTAGCTGAATCCTGCTGTCCACATAGGAGTGAGATCAGAGCATGCACTGTGCTATCTCATGGCCCATCTGGAGAAAAGACTCATGCATAGTTCGGAGGGGAACCCTGCATGAGTGTAAGCAGCAGAAAGGGCAGAGAAGAGTCCCAGTTAGAGGTAGGGGCAGCCAGACAGCTCAGCTGTAGAGGTATCATAGTATCACAGAATTTTTGGATTGGAAGGGATCTTGAAGCCCACCCAGCCACATCTAATGCTGTGGGCTGGCTGCCCCCCACCAGCTCAGTCTGCCCAGGGTCCCATCCATGGCCTTGGGCACCTCCAGGGATGGTGCAGCCACAGCTCTGGGCAGCAGTGCCAGTCTAAATCTTCTGCCTTTTGTTAAAAACCGTTCCCCTTTTGTCTTACCACTATGGTCTAAAAAGTCGTTCCCCATTTAATGGAGTTGGGCTCCATGATCCTTATGAGTCCATTCCAACTCAGGATGTTCTACTACATCCACATTCTATCATTGTTTACAAGCTCTCTTTAAATACTGAAATCAAGGGCTTTTGTGCAAATCAAAGAGCTGTACCCTGGTGCCAGGGTAATTTGGCTCTGGTCTATTCCCTCATGGCTTGACCTCACTGTTCCCCAGTCTTCCTACTCCCAAGGAAAGAGTGTCTTCCATACTCTGGGGCACAAGTTCAGGAAACTGAAAGAGAGCCATTGGTCTCCTTTGACTGTGGCTGCAGGAGTGTAGACGCCTACACTTTGGCACTGAAACTGATGTGTTTCCATCTATCAGCTAATTCTGCCTAGGGATTCAATATATTGTTAATAATGTGTCTAGCAGGGGAGGAGAGAAGTGTCTCAATTTTCAGGCTTATTCAGCCTTGAAAATATCCTTGCTGTGCTGTTGGGAGCTGTGGTGACGTGGCTGCTTGCAGGGTGTCTTGGGGTGGTGGATGCTTCAGGTTATCTGGGAAGGGGCTGGTGGAGAATCTTGAAGCACAGGTGAGACCTTTCAGCTTGGCCAAAGGGGCAGTGCAACCTGATGGGGCTGTGGGTGTCCCTGTTCACTGCATGGGAGTTCGACCAGATGGCCTTTAAGGGTCCCTTCCAGCTCAAACCATTCTATGACTCTGATTTTATGTGCACGAGGGCTGTCAGGGGAACCACAACTGTAGCAAAGAGAAGTGGCCCCCAACACCCCACTGCCCCATTGCCTCAGGGAGGAGAGGGAGGTTTGTACAGAAAGGTGTTTCACTGGAGGAACAACCCCAGCAGGTTGTGGATGCCCCATCCCTGCAGGCATTCAAGGCCAGGCTGGATGTGGCTCTGGGCAGCCTGGGCTGCTGGTTGGTGACCCTGCACATAGCAGGGGGTTGGAACTGGATGAGCATTGTGGTCCTTTTCAACCCAGGCCATTCTATGGTAACCCAACCAATCCCCCCTGCAACTCCACGAGGAATAACCCTGTTGCCTTTGCAGCTTTTTCCCCACTCCCATTTTGCTCCCACCCTTGAGAGAGGAATTATTCAGTGGCAAATAATTGCGCACTGCGCTCCTCCAGCCTCCACAGCTCGGTCAATAATAACAGCCCACTGTTCTATCACATGGGGCTCTTTCCTTTCTCCTTTGTCTTCAACTTCCAGATTCCTCTGAAGGTTCGGAATGGAAAGATCCCTCCTCTCTGCCCTTATCTGCAAGGTGAAAGGAGGGAGAAATTGTCTTCTGCCTTTGGGAAGATAAGTCACGTTGGTCTCTTCCCCTTTAGAAAACTCTCTAATGCCATTTATCAATTAATTACCGGGTTGCATTTATGCCCATTAATTCCCCTTGCTGTCTTTCATTTTTGGAAATGTCTGTGCTGCCCAGGATCTAATTGTCCTGGTCTTACATTGCTTTCTTTCTCATTTTCAAGCTAAGTGGATGCCAGAGCCTTCAAAGGCAGCTGCCTCTTCCCCCTCCTCCTCCACCCTGGCCATGCTCAAAGTGGATTTGGCTGGGCTTGGGGGGGAATGGATTAATCTGTGTGGCCCAAGCTTTAGATCCAAATTCTACTCCTGAAACAATCATTGCTGGATGCAGGGAAACATTTTTACCTGGAATTTTTTGCCTGGAAAGAAATACTTTCAGGTCACCTGCAACATGCTGGGGTTTTATATCAGTCTTGGTTCATCCTTTGGGTCCAAATAACCAAACCAGACAATTTTGAAAAGAAATGATTCAATTTACCTTTGTTTCCACCCCCCTCAAACAGTTTAATATCTCCCTTTGAAACAATATTTCACTTTCTTCGCTTCAAGTTAAAACACAAGTGTATTTATTTTAAATGGAAATAAGTTCCCAAGTAAACAAAATGGGCTTATTTTGTTCAAATGATTTCCCAGAGAAAAAAAAATGAAAAGTATACCTTTTGGATAGGTCCAAAAATGCTTTTCTTCAGTTCAATCACTTAATCATAGAGCTTTTCCTGCCCCCTACCCCACAATCACCATCCCCGATGCCATTGAGAAGAGCACAAATTTAAGCCATGTTTCAGCAGGGAAAGATTTTCTCATCTTTCTTGTGTTAACTAAGTCAATTTTTAGAGACCTGAGCAGAGTCAGTCCTCTGGGGCAATGTGCTTGGATGCTCAAATCCAGCAAGAGCCCAGAGTTTCACAATCCTTTTCCCAGAGTGCCCAATGGGCTTTGGATGGCATTGTGCTGAAAGCCAATTAGAAGAAAATCTTTTGGAAAAGCCCTGGCTTTGGCCAGAAAAGGAAGGCCATGGTACACACAAATCCCATCAGTTCCTACAGAGATACGAATGCGTCTGGATGGCACAGAGGTGGTTGTGAGGTCATAGAATCTTAGAATGGCTTGGGTTGGAACTGACCTCAAAGAACATCAAGTCCCAACCCCCTGCCATCAGCAGGGTTACCAACCACTAAGTCAAGCACCAGATCTGGCTGCCCAATACTGCATCCAACCCGACCTTGAACATCTCCAGGGATGGGGCATCCACAGCTTATCTAGGTAAGAACTTCTCTGAGTTCTCCTATTACTGTGTCTCACTGGGGACCAGAAATAAGCTTTCATGCCTGGGGTGGGCTTCCTTCTAGAGTGTCTTCGCCCAACCCATGGGTTTGTGGTTGCTTTTCTGTCTCCAGTGTCTCAAGAATCTATGAGACCTCCACTTAAATGAGGAGAAATAAGCATTTCTCAGCAGAGGTATTGATGAACCAGATACCTGAAGCAAGGTGGGTTTGTCCCAGCTGTCAAGTAGGTGCAGCAATGACTGTGTGAAACAGTTATCCAAAAATATGGGACATTTCTGGGTTGTAGCCCCCCAGCAGGTGGGCAGCTATCTATGCTGCTCCCCATGGGAGCTGTTACACCAAGGTTATTGCTTTGGGGATGGCTGGAGTCTGACCACGCTGGATTGCAAGGACCACAGCACAGATATCATTGGTCTCCTTGCCATTGTTACTGATAAGAAATGCTTCCAAGAGGAAGGTATCGAAACTCAGGGAGTGCAAAGCCAAATGCATCTCTCAAACCAAGCATCTGGAGTTGGAAAAGCATTGCAAGCCCTCATCTTATAGGTAGATTAGCACATCTGGCTCAATTCTAGCCTTGGGTACGGTGCTAAGATTGCTCCCTGGGGATAACACGTGAAATGTGCAAATGCAGTTTGCACCTGTGCAGGTCCCAAGAGCACATAGATAAATTAATGATCTGCCAGCACTGCCCCTGGCTTTCTAACTCCAGGCAAATCATAGAATCACTGAATCATTAAGGTTGTAAAAGACTGCTAAGATCATCAAGGTTGGCCATCATCCCATCCCCACCATGCCCACTAAACTCCTGCCAGTGCATCAGTTTCCCTACTGGGGAAAAGGTGATAGGAATAAAGTTATTTTTCTTGCTTCCTAAGAACACTGGCATCTTTTAGTCCTTAACGATGCTAAGATACAGGAAGAGCTGTTAGCAGCATCACTGTTTACATCTCTCAAGGGAAGATGAGCTGTTATGCTTGGACTTAAAAGCCTCTTGTGTAGCAGCGTGTGGCTGTGCCCTGGGTCAAATGGGACAGATGCTTAGAAATTCACTGTTGGATGAGGTACGATGGTGAGGCAGTGGTGGGAGACCCTGCTGCTGCACTTGTCTTCAAAATCAGGTTGAAGCTGTGTGCAGGTCTGATGCAGGCTCTTCCCTTGGCCATGAGCTTCACCTGAGAAGATTGACAAAAGCATCCTGGCTAAGCAGGGGTGTAGAGGGCCAAAGCCACCACGCCAATGCTGCCTCAGCTACCATTCCCATTTGCTCCTTGCTTGGATTTCTCATCACCCCTCTTTTCTTTCAGTTCTCCCACCCTGCAGGGTGAGTTATTGCAGGGCAGCGTATCTCTCTCTCCCATAATTGCCCCTGCACCATGGGAGGATTTATTTTTGTTCATTCCAGCTGGGCTATATCCAGCCATCACCATTCCAGGCTCCTTGCCAGCTCTGTGCTTGGGTCTGTCCCTTCCCTGCGTGGGAACACACTGCTCAATGGATGGAGATCCTCGGAAGACCCGAGGCCAAGGCCATCCCCATAAACGCCACCCAACTGTTATTTTTCATTACAAAGAGGATGACATGCTCAGCAACTAAAACTTCTGTGCTTCCTTGCTCCTCTCTGCATTTCCAACCATCTTCCTTCTGCATTGCTGGAAAATCAGATTGCTCACCAAGCTCTGGACGTGGCTGTGATCGGGAGGGTTTGTCAGACTCTCTCTTTCCTTGGGAATAAAACAAACCCAAAACTGGTATCTGCTCCAGCTCTTACTGAAATTATGGGAAGTGTGAGAAAAGGACATGTTAGCTGGTGGCAGTTCAGTTCCTCCAGACTTGAGACTGAGAAATGGAGTCATGCTGCAGTGTGTGGCTGCACTGCCCAGAGAGCCATTAATTGTCTTTGGCTCCTCATATCAAGGTAAAGCAAAGAGTGGATGCTATTGCCTACAAAGCTGGCTCCCACCCTGAGAAAATGAAGTTTCTTCTTCTTCTGCAGGGTGTTTGAAAAGGGGTAGGGTGCAACTCAGATAGGACCAAGATCTGGAGGAAGAATCAGCAGGAATATTCTTGAATTTCTTTTTATTTCCTCCCTCCCTTGGGTACCACCATGGCAGAAGGAGGAAGAGAAGCCAAGCTAATGCCTGAGGGGTAAGGAGAAAGTGAACCCATCATAGAATCATAGAATAACCTGAGAGTGAAAAGACCCATAAAGATCATTGAAAGCATCGAAAGATCCTGGCTCCACATGGGATCACCAAAAAATTATTGAATCATAAAATCATAGAATGGACTGGGTTGACAAGGACCACAATGATCATCTAGTTTCAACCCCCCTGCTACGTGCAGGATTGCCAACCACTAGACCAGACTGTCCAGAGATGGTGCAGTTGGACCCTGCAATGGAATTAGGAAGTTTTGCTGAAGTCCCTGCCTTTTCAAGGTATATGAATAAAGGAGGAATAAACCACACTTGTGGTTTTCAGTAATTTTCCTTTATGGAGCCATCCCTGATGTATTATAATAAAAGGGGAAACCCTAAGGCCATCCTAGCTGAGCTTACCTTTCTTGGGCACTTTTTTCCCCTGGAAAACCCTTAGGAAATCTGTAGGTTGGAAACATCTAGAAGAGACAGAAGGATGACTTGTGATCCAAACCATGGATGGAGAAGACCAGATGTGGAAAAAGTAACAGCTATTGCCATGCTTAAAATTTAATTCTTAGAATAATAGAATCATCAAGGTTGGAAAAGACAACTAAGGTCACCTAGTCCAACTGTCGACCCTTCACCACCATGCCCAATAAGACACAAAACCCGTTTCCCAGTGGGCTGGAAGACTGGAATTTGCCTGGAGGACTGGAATGCAGTGTGGCAGTGCTCTGCCATCTTCACTTTCCAAGCCTAAATTTAAGGATGGACAATATCCTTAGGAAGCTGTCAAAGTCCAGGTGCCACCTTCCTCTGATCGATGTGGGCTGCCTTTGGTCAGCCTCCCCACCTGGACTTTTATTTTCTCCTCCAGACCTTCAAGAAATGGTTCCTTCTTTCCCATCTCCAGATGGAAAAGCCAGAGAGCAAAACCCATCCTGGCTCCTTGCCACTCCTATTTTGCATCACCAGCTGTGCCCATTTTACTGCACAAGCCTTTGCTCGTCTTCCTCTTCTCCCTCTTGCCCTCCCTGTTCCTCCTCTGGACATTTGCTGATGCCAAGCCAGCATCCTGACAGCCAAAGTGACATCGTAATTTTCTCCCTGGCAGTGGTCTGGGTTGTCTGAGGACACACACAGCAGAAAAAGGAGGAAGGGAGGATGGGATCTGCTTTGTAAGGCTCGCTGTAGTTGCAGAGGGGGTTTGCTCTGCCCAGGAGCATCGTGGTTGCCTCTCGAATGGAAAGCAGAAGATTTGGCAGTGGAACATGGCAAGTTTGGTGGTGGAGGCTTATTCTCCAGGTGTCAGCCCCAGTTTTTGCCATACCCCCCTCCCCAGAGAAGCTGTGTACTTCCCAAGCACCTCCACTCTCAACCCATCCATAAGAAATCATCATAATCCAGCTCAGTGGGTGGCATTCCCCTTCATTTCATGCCCATGATGTTCACTCTCCATTAATGCCTGCCTTAAATAACTCGCGGGGCGGTTCTGCAATTTCGGCGAAGGAGGAATCTGTATGTGTGAACGGGAGGAGATGGAGCGAATGTGTAATTGGGTTTAATCTTTCCACACTCAAGGAAGCAACAAAACATCTCTCTTCGTCTATTTAGTCAAAACACGGCAACATCATTGCTCTATTGCTCAGGAACAATAAAGATGCAAATAATGTCAACGTCTCCCAGGCTTTTGCCAGGACGTTTACTGGGGAGAATATTATTGCGTTCTGATTGCTTTGTATGAAATCCACTATCAGTGCCTGCACGTGGCTTTGCTTCTTGAGGATGCTGAACTAAATTGGAATGAAAATGAGAAGCACCGTGTCTGCTGCTCTATCTTGATGCTTTAGTGCTGGAAGAAGAGCTGAGGGCTTTGGCAGCGATTCTGAGCTACGTTCAGGTTTTCTTTTTATTAGGAAGTAAGGGAACTTTTGGGGATCAGTTTTTCCTTGGGCATCACTGGGACATGGTGGAAAACAGTGGGCAAAACCAGGATGTAATGGTTGGGTGTCACAGCCAACTTGTCTGTGTGAGTATCTGAGGAAATGGAGCTCTTTTACTGGGTAGGTTTGGGGAAATCCCTGTCCAGTACTGAGCCAGAGTGATGGGGTAAGGAGGTGGGCATAAGGAGGTGTTTGGGTTGGAGAAGAGGAGGCTGAAGGGAGACCTAATCATTCTCTACAACTCCCTGAAAGGAGGTTGGTGGAAGGTGGTGGATGGCCTCTTCTCACAGGTAACAGTGATAGGACGAGAGGTGTTGGCCTCAAGTTGTACCAGGAGGGTCAGGCTGGATAGTAGGAAACATTTCTTCTCCAAAAGACTGGTTAGGAACTGGCACAGCTGCCCAGGGAATGGTGAGGTCACGGTTCCTGAAAGTGTTCAAGAATTATGAAGATGTGGCACTGAGGGCCATAGTGAATGGACATGGTGGAGATGGGTTGGGGTGTAGATTGGGTCTTTCCCAACCTGAATGATTCTGTGATCCAATCATGGGGATGCATGAGGTGGTCCAAGTGGGAGGTCAGCAAGGTGGAGCTGGCAAAGAAAAAAAAGATTTTACGGGGTCAGCACTGATTAAGGGAGGGTGGATCTGGAGAAAGGCTGCCCTGAGAGTGAGGGTAAGCCAGGCTGCACTGCCAGCCCCAGCACTCATACATCCTGATGGTGCAAATGGGAACATGGTGCTGGTGTGTCCCAGTGACTTCTGTGCCCCGGGAGGATCCAGGAGTTGGTGGTGATCACTGTCAGCACAGTGACTGTCAGCTCCTTCCCCAAAAGAATTTGTTACCCACCAACAACAGCCACGATCTGCTCATCACCGGTGATGCTGAAGG